ATGCGTGTTATTCTCTACTTACCATTCAAATGGAGACGCCAAAAAGTCAATAAAAATAGTTTGCCACGATAAGATAAAGAAGAAAATCATAAAGAAAACAATCATATTTCTCACAAAAGCACAACAAATTTGCATCTGAAAACAAGAGACCACCAACGCCAGGACGGGGCAACAATAGGTTATATCATTCAGGACACGAACATTTGCAGTGACATGCAAATGGAAATGAATATTGAATAACATAACTGGCAAGATTGAGGCAATAGGCCGCCAGGCAAGTAAGTCATTCATCCATCCATCCATCTAGCCAGCCGGCAAACAGGCGTAGCAGTTGAACGACTTTAGTTGTTACGTTAAAACAACATTTCGTTATTCCGTTTCCGGTGTCGTTGTTCAAGCGTTATTCAACATGAATTTGCGTGTCAACACCATGTAAGTTTATGTTGCTGTTGTTTTTGCTCTGCATTTCATTTTTGTTTGTTCAGCCATCAGCTTCAACTAGGTTTGTCCCCTTTGGCAAAATGTCGCGTGTCCATGTCGCTTGTTGTTACTGTTTTTTTTTTTTATTCGAAACCAAACATTTTCGCATTTTTATGCCAAAGGATATGTGTCGGAGTGATTGTGTGTGTGTGTGTGGGTTTGTGCAAATAAAACAGGATAAAATAACATTTGAGTGTAAATGTAAAAGACATGCAACATTTATTGCTTAAACACCAACACACACATACATACACAAACAGACACTCATGGGACACGGAAACACACATAACAACACACATATTTTTCCCACACATTTAACCCAAATTAATCCGGACCCAGTATTATGCTCACGCTTTTGATGGAAAATGACTGGATGGCATTAATTAATTTCAATTTTTTTCTTGGACAATTAATTTTCCAACTTTTGTTGCCCTTATGTTCCCCATTTGATAATTATCTTCCGTCTCGATTACATCCCAAATGGCGTAGGAGAAGTAACATAAAAAACTGCTGGAAGGATCTCGTTAATTAATTCCGAAAAATTCCATATTCGTGAGGAGTTTTTCTTTCTTCTCCTCTTTTTTCTTGATTTACTTTTCACTTAACTCACCAATACAATCGACACAAAGGATTTTCGTTTCTGCCAGCGTTTTTTGTTTTAGATTTTGACGAACAAACAATTTAATTAATGTGGGAATTTTAAACATAAGCGTTTTAACTTTATAGCCTTGCCCCCAAGTGTTGATATCTCCAAGGGGTTATTCGAAAGCATGAGCTTTTTATGAGCTTGTCGCTGCTATCAATTAATATAATTTATTTACTCCTCTCAATGGATTTGCCAAACAATGCCCTTATCAAGCTGAATGTGCGATAATGTTGAGAAATTATGGGGATTGTAAATTGTTTTGGAAAAGAGGTTTGGTGCTAAAAACGATGCTATTAGCATTTTATGTTATTTGTTTGGAAATTCAATATCAAAATAGATAAAAATAGAATAGAATGTACCTAGCCAGCACATTACATTAACCAAGGAATAATAATTATATTAAAATCAGCAATAAAAAATTTAAATTAATTGCTACCAATTAGAGTGAAAAAATTTGAAAAACTGATTTTTATTTTGACCCCTAAGTCCCACAGAAAATTGTAGGAAATAACAAATTGATAGTTTTCCACCAGAACACTATAGGTCAAATAACTGCTTTAAGTGGAAAAAAGTCAAATTTCACACATTGCCTTCTCACTTCTTGTAGAAAACATATAGCTCCTCTATACAAAGAGTGGCATAAAATAGTTTTTATACCCTACAACTCTATATTATAAATTTGATTGGGCCAAAAATTATGTAACACCTCGAAATATTGGTTTCCCACTTAGGAAGGTGCATATGGATCTTCTAATATCGCCGAGCTGAGTCGATTTACTATGTATGTCCGTCCGTCCGTCTATCCATCTGTCCATGTTAATTAGGATTATGAAATAGGGTGTAAATATAAGGAAAATATCCCCGGTAAAAAAACCAAAGGTAACATTTGTGCATTTTTTCAAATAATCGACTAAAATTTGTTTGGACCTAAGGAGGTTTTCCACTATATTATAGTGTTGTATGATATCACATGGTCGGCGCCGCACGACTATAGCCTTTGCTTACTTGTTTTTATATCCTCCACCATTCTATGGAGGGTTGAGTAGCTTTGTCAAAAGAATGATAGACCTTACAAAGTATATATATAGTCTGGATCGGCGTAAAATTCTAAGACGATTTTGTGATGTCCGTCTCCCTGTGTATCGGTCTGTCTGTTGAAATTACGCTATTTTTCAAACGTACTGAGACAGAAAGCTAAAATTTTGCACACATGTGTATTTTCCCAGTAGGCGGGCTAAGTTCGTAAATCGGCCATGTCGGTCCATGTTTTCATATTGCCCCATATAACGATACCTTCCGATATTCGGTATTTTCTTGATTTTAGCGATTTAATTCTCCCGAATTGTTTCAAATTTCGTATTCGAAGTTTGTAGTGGGCACTACAACGCATGCATAAGAATTTCTTTTGCAGGTCCACGTCTTCGTATAGCCTCCGCATAAAGCTATAACGTAATTTTTCGTAATTTTTCAAGTTACTTCGAAATGATGAAGGCTACTAAAAGGCCTGGGCGAACATAGCTATTTATACCCTACAACACTATATGTTGGGAGTATTATAAATTTGATTGGGCCAAAAATTATGTAACACCTCGAAATATTGGTTTCCCACCTAGGAAAGTATATATGGATCTTCCTATCTCGCCGAGCTGAGTCGGTCTAGCTATGTATGTGTGTCCATGTTAATTTGTAATCTCTCTACAGGTCGCAATTATGGCCCGATCTTCACGAAATTTGGAATGGAGGTGGGGCTAGGGTCAGAATAGAACCCCGTTGCTTTTGGAGATGATCGCATAATATTTATAATATTTAAAATGGACCAAAAACTGAAAAAATTCCTGATTTTGCAGTTGCTCTACAGGTCGCAATTATCGACCAATCAAAGCGGAAGTTAGCATGGCGCTAGAGCTTAGGGCTGGGCGGAAGCCTTCCAATTTTGATGCTCATCGGGTAATATTTAGTGGGTGAAATAGGCCACAATATTTGTGTTAAACAAAAGTCAAAATTTCCGTTAAACCGCGAATATTTTTAATCCCGCCGGAATCACAGGTAGATGAGCAGGTCAATTCTGACCGTTACGTAAATGCGAATAGTAAATATATCGGATATATATAGCGAAATATATAAAACGTGTATATACAAAGAAAGTCAGAATGCTTATATCTCAAGAATGGCTGGACCGATTTTCAGAATGCTTATATCTCAACAATGGCTGGACCGATTTTGACAAATTTTGTCAATTCAGAATGCCCTCTTGACATAAAAGTATAAAATCTAAAAAAATCCCAGAAAAATACGCCAATAATGATGTTAATATAGCTTTTGTAGTATTTTGTGACATATTTTTATTTTTTCATATTTTTTATCGCATGCGATTTTTTCAATTTGACTTATAATATTTTGTAATATTTTTTCACCTTACAACACAGGTTGGGGATATTATATAAGGACTGCAAATATCGTCCGATCCTAACGAAAAGTTTCTTAAGGGTAGGGTTGGGTTCAGAAGGGCTAGGCCTATTGTTTTCAAAGATGTCCGCAATATATTAGGGGGTTGAAATGGACCAACAACTAAAAATTTTCCCGATTTTGCAGCCGTTATAAAGGTCACAAATAGAAACCAGAGGACACGAAATCTCGCATAGAGTTAGAGTTTAGGACAGCGGGTACAATGGACAACTAATTTTGTGTGAGAAACTACCAGCATTGCTTACAGGCGATATCCAAAATACACAAAAGGCGAACTTCTGGCTTTTTTATGCTGATTTCTTTGACGAATATAGCCAAATATCGTAGAAAAGCAAATCATATAGATGAGTCTAAATTTGGAGATACAGAGGGGCTTCTTGCTTTTGGAGATGATTGCAAAATATTTAGGGGTTCAAATTAACCAAAAACAGAAATGTTTTTCCGATCACACAGTTGAAGCCAATCGACACGCCTGTGAAGAGAGTTAAGGACAGGGAAGGATTCTAGCATTTTGGATGACCATTGGATTATATTTATCGGTAAAATGGACTACACCAACTAACAGCACGACGGAGTGCGTAAATATTGGTCAAAACCTAATTCCAAATTCCAATATGGATTTGGGCATAAGGCGGCTTCTAACATATTGTAGTGTTGTAGGGATTACATAGTCGCACCGCACGACTATAGCCTTTGCTTACTTGTTTTTTTTTTTCTTTTTTTTTTTTGATTACGAAATAAGTGAAATATTGTGGATAGATCGTAACATGGTTCACCGCTTTAGTTAGTCGTTGTTTGTGCTCCATTTAATAATTCCTGAAAATGCTGCAGTTATTCTGCCAGAAAAAAACTCTTTCGGTTTCGTTTTAATATTTGGTTTGTCACCAAGTTAATATGCAAATATTTGTCAACTCTTGTCCACAACAACCGAAAAAAAATGAATCCTTAAGCTACATACGGGGTCTAACATGACAGAGCGATCCACCCGTCCATGCTAAAGGATTCAACAAGCAACTGGATGTATATACATATGTGTTTTTGATATTTCTAACATATGGAAACCAAAGAGTGTGCAAACGCTGGTTTATACATATGAATATAAATATTTAATAAATAAACTTAGCTGAACCCCCCCCCCCAAAAAAAACAAAAAAAAAAAGAATTTGAAATGGAACGAAACAAAACAAAAATGTTTGGGAAAAGAGTTACTCCGAGACCCTTTGGGGGGTGTTTACCAACAAACTGTGAACTATGAAAGGGAAAAAAATGTCAGAGTGTCATATTGTTAAAAACTCGTTCGCCACTCTTGGAAGTCTGCATACATTTTTAACAGCAGCAGCAGCAGCTTTTTTGGAAATTTCCGCTAACTTTTTTCTGTGTTTCATTTCTTTTTTTCTTCTTCTTGCAGGCTAAGCGCCCGGGACCAAAAGTGTAGGAGCAATATGTGGAAAATGACAAAAATCATATATGTGTGTCTGGCTGTGTGGGTCAGCAGGATGTTCAACATGAACGAATGAATGAAATAAACAAAAAAATATGCAATATTGCCAACATGCATCATCAAAGTCAGTAACCCATTCACACACACACACATACAGCGGCAATCTGAGCCCAAAAATCTGCCTGGCAGCAGGACACCGAAAGCACTGCTTCTGTGATGGCAGCTTTTTAATGGGCCACATAAAATCTGCCTCAATAAAACAAAAATGAATTGCCTGGAAAATATAAGCTGTCCACGATACAACAGGCCAAGCGGTGTTGAAAAAATACTACAACAACAACAATAAAAACAACAACGGCAAACATGAAAATGTTAGATGAATGTGTATTGAAATTTGTAATTTCCGTTTTGTGTCTCTGCAACGAATGAACTTCCTTTTGGATAAAAATTAGTTTAAAAAAATAGTGGGAGAGAAAAAAAAAATAACACCAAATTGAAATATGGAAATATATTCGGCAAATGAATTCCAATATCTGTATGGAAATCAATTAACGGGAAAAATGACCTGAGTTTTCAAGTGAAAAGTTTGCAATTAAATTAAAAAAAAAAAAAAAAACACAATTTTATTTAAAAAAATTCTCTCCCCAGCAAAAAATAAAAACGTACAAAACAGAAAGTGTTGAACGAGAGCTCGTTTTCAATTATTCAAAAGCAAAACTTTTGTGTTCTTTTTTTAAGTTTTGTTGTACCTACTTTTTTTCTCGTTGCCTTTACCATAAAATTCTGTCCAATTGTGCTCAAGTGTTAAGCAATTATATTGCAATTAAAATTCTTGCCAGTTTTATCATCGTTTCCGCTCATTCACGGTTCTTCCAAGCAATGTCAAGCTCATCCACACCTGCCATCCGGAGGTAGTTTTAAAATGAAAATAGAAAAAAATCGTAGATTCCCAGGTCAAAAGTCAAAGTGCAGCCAAGAAAGTTAAACTTGTTTAAACGCTTCTAAATAGTTAAATGCACCGAACAATCTAACAACAAATTTAAAAGTGCAATACTCAACAAAGTTGTTCCAAGAACTGCTAATCAATATGGCCACAGCATTTTCCAATAATCCCTACGGCTCCCCCTCATCGGCCATGTGGTATACATTTACAACGGCAGCATCACCCCCGGTATGGGCTGCATTGGCCACGATGGCCACGTCAACACTTAAAGTGGCTGCATCGGCTTTAAATAGTTCAATGACAACAGCTGGTGGTGGTGGTGGCATGACACTGGCCCATGAACAGCAACATTATTCACAACCACACTCACATCTGCATTCTCCAGGATCTGCAGCTACAACAACAACCAACCAGCAACAACAACAACATCATCCATATCAGCCACACACCTTTGCCGGAAACAATTCGAATCTTCCGTTTAGTAGAGGTCCTTTAACTGGTAGTGGTTCCATCATTGGCGTCGGCGGCAACAACACTACGACGACGTCGACCAGTCTCAGCTATCACAATGCCAGCAATTTGACATCGTTTCTCCTACCAACGCATCTAAACAACAATGGCAGCTATATGGGCGATGGCGGCCTGGTGGATTCCAATACCTTTCTCACATCCACGGGCAGTGTTGTCGGAAGCGGCAACAATAGTTTCGTCGATGGCTTTATGGTCGATCATCTGCCATTACAATTAATTACGAGCACAACACCGAAAGTAAATCTCGATATAGAAATCGATATACAACTATTAACCAGCGACTATGATGGTGGTACTACGGTAAGTCGTTGTTTTTACACATATAGAGGGGATGGGGTGGGATGAGAGGTGGTGGGGGTGCTACACAGGAAGTTAGGGGGTAACCACCACCGCAAATGACACAATTCCGTAAATAATTGAGGTTAGAGAGGTGGTATCGCATGTGTGGATCTAAGTATAAAATTTCATAGTGCCAACGTTTATAGGGAAATACATTTATGGGTATCTGATATTTCAAGGATAATTTAAAAAGGACATTGCTTTCCGGGGATTGATATAGAATTCCGGTAATGGGAAAATACAAAAACAAGGGTTTTCCTAAAAAATCTAAAGTTAAATTAATTTTTATACCCTCTGCCATTCCATGGAGGGTATATTAACTTTGTCATTCTTTAACGGAATTGCTTCAAATTCGTAATGGCCTATGACAAAAAATTACTTATGCAGACCCATGTCTTTGTATGGCTCCCACATAACGTTTTTATTTGGACGGATTTTTTTTTTAATTTTCAAGTTCCTCTCAAATGGTGGAGGGTATTAAAAGTTCGGCCCGGCCGAACTTAAATGCTTTTTTATTTGTTTCTTTTTTTGGATCCGTAATATAACCCTACAACACTACAATATATTCGAAGTCACTTTTGTCCAAATCAAATTTGGAAGATTTCGGTTTTGACAAAAACAAAAAAAATAAAAAAAAAAAAAAAAAAAAAAATAATGTCCCTGTTCTTAAATTCCGTGTCGATAAGTTTTCAATTATGGCCTATAGAGCGACTACAAAACTAGAAAAAATATTTTTTTTTAGTCAATTTGCACATCTAAATGTCCATCTTAAGAACAAGAGGCTTTAATTTTGACCCCATGAAAAATTTCATGAGGATCGTACGATTATTGCGACATGCATATAATACCCTTAAAACGTAGTGTTGGGGGGTGTTCAAGATTGCATGCGATAAAAAATGTGACAAAAATTGAAAAAATTCGACAAAAGATATTCATTTTTTTATTGGTATATTTTTCCGTGAATTTCTTAGATTTTCTGCTTTTCTGGCAAAAGACCATTCCGAATTGATGGGAATTGTGAAAATCGCCCCAGCGGTTCTTGATTTATAAGCAGAATAAATAAGATCAATTCTTTCACATATGTATTCTACTATTTTGCTATATATCCGATTTCTTGGCTATTAGCATCACTGTAATGGTCAGAAGTGCTCTTTTAATGTATTTGTGATTTGGCTGGGATTGAAAATATTCCCGGTTTAGTGTAAATTTTCCTATTTTCTTACACAAAATTTAGCGTCGCCCAAATTGATAGGTTTCTGCTCACTCCAAAACTCTAACTCCATGTAAATTTTCGCGTCGATTGGTTCATAATTGTGGCCTATAGAGAGGTCTAAGTTGAAATTTCATAGTGCCAACGTTTATAAGGAATTAAATTGTTGGATATCTGATATTTCAAGGATACTTTAAAAAGGACAGGACCAATAAGGGATTTCAGGAATCGTAAAGTAGAAAATAAGGCATGTTCCCAAAAATACGTATCAAAAGTTAAATTAATTGCTTCTTTTTCTGGGTCCCTAATATTAACATTAATGACTTAATTTCCAATATTCCTCAACCCTACATTTCATCTCCATGTGTTCGCGTAATTACATCTGACGTTAATAAAAATGTTTTAACTTGTAATTATCGAATTAATTTAAAATAAGTTATAACTACTTATTTACATTCAAACGATGCACATCGACGACTTAAAACTAGGCTTGAGGTGTCGGAATCTTAAATTCGTTTTCAAGCAATTTTTTGTTGAAGTCGAAGTCGAGAAAAATAACTCGAGTTCGACTCCGAATGTATTTTCATGATACGGTCAAAATGTGCCTAGTCAAAACGTGCGAAATAACGGTTTTAGACCCTAGGTCTATTTGGGCCAAACCAGTTTCAAGACATTTGAAGTCAATCTAGCGATGTCCGTCCGTCTGTCTGTATGGCTCGCTGGTGCGCATGATAACTTGGAAAAGGGAGTATCCGATTTGGTCCAAACTTGGTACATCAAACTTAGATCGAGTTCAAAGATGGACAATATCGGTCCACTCCTTCTTGTACCTCTCCCACAAAAGGTCTAAAATTTCAAAAAATATGTTTTCTGTACAGAAAGGAAAACGATAATCCGATTTCTCTCCAACATTGCAAATCCAAAAATTTGCGTCAGTGCTAAGTCAGGTGCGAAAATGGACAATATCGGTCCACCCTATCACCTAAAAAGGTTCAACATTTTGAATAATTACCAATTTCACACATCCCAATAATTTTATTAACCCAAGGTCTGGTATTACGATGGAATATATCAGTGCACTTCTTCTGGTACCTACCCTACAAAAGGTGGAAATTTTGAATATTCATGAAGCTCGTGAAGCGCGAAATTAATATCCGTTTGCATTCAAGTCTTGGCACATCTCAATATTTTCATCAATACAAGATCTGTTATAAAGATGGTAGGGATAGGACTATTCCTTTTGGTACCTCCCACACATAGGGTTCAAGATTTTGAAAAACCAAACGCTCAAAGAAATCGAAATAAGCATACCACTCTCTTCAAATTTCACATATACAGGGTGAAATAAAAAAACTGCAACAAAGTCAAATGCCATTCATTTTACATTTTTTTTTTTAAATTTTATTGAATGAAAGCAAAAAAATGTCGGAATAGCATAAAATTTTAGAATAAGTTTAGATTTGTTCGATTTGGTCACTTTTGGCACGAATTATGGCCTTAAAACGGCCAATGAAACCGTCACATGCTACCCGAATATTGTTTTGCTTTATTTTGGCCCATTCCCAGCGAGCGCTTGCTTGAGGTGATCGACACTTTGGTATTTTTTAGTGCCAACCTTGCTTTCCAAAATACTCCAGACACAATAGTCCAACGGATTGGTATCCGGAGATTTTAGTGGCCATTGTGTGCTGGAAATGAAGGGAGGAACCTCATTTTGTAACCATTCTTGGGTGGCGCGTGCTAAGTGCGATGGTGCTGAGTCCTATTGGAATGCTGCCAAAATCTTTGCGTTCCCAAGGCTTTAACATACCCTCCAAAATATTTTCGCGATAATATTCGGCATTTATTATGATGCCACGGTCGATTAATACGAGCGGAGGGCGACCATCGGCTGTTATGGCGGCCCACACCATCACAATGGACGGCGCTTGAGTTCTGTTGTTCAACCGAAGGTGCTCATTTTCAGCTGACCTCTTTGGCAAGTAAACACGATCATTTTGTTTGTTTTCTCATCGGAGAAAACCGAATTCTTCAGTACACCACTTTCGGCCAAGCGAAGCAACACTTTAGTTCTTTTGAGTCTATGTTCTTTCTGTTAAGTTCTTGAACTTTTTGGAATTTCAATGGCTTTACCTCGAGCTCAATTTTTCAATATTTGCCGATATATTCAGCTCACGATCCATTTTTCGACCACTGCAACGCGGGTTTCGATCAAGTCGCTTCTTTACATTTCGAACCATTTCTGCTGATGTTGCTATTTTCTTCCGTCCACTTCCTTGACGTCGGCCTACGCACAAAAGACTTATTCACATTTAAATGCTGGAGTGCTCTAACGATAGCCACTTGTGGTTTTCCAGACAAATATAGAGAAATCTCACTATCACGCTTGAATTCCTTCACGAATAATATTTTTCTGGAAATTTCTCACCAAAATGCTTTTGTACGCTTGTAAACAATAAGATGAGCTGTCACTGGAATAATTTTAACATCTGACGGACGAGTGGCTTAGAAATGACAGCAGTCTGAAGTTGGTTTCAGTTTTTTCATCTCACCCGGTCCTCGCCCACAACAAGGTTCACAATTTTAAATACTTGTATCTATCATAACTTACGGAACAAGTCAGCGATTCTTTACAACTTGCTACATCTAAATATTTCTCTCAACCAGAAACCGGAGCTGAATATGGAATTTATGATTTTGCACAAAATTTGAGACAAACGTTAGAATTTCTTGTAATTTTGCCCGTACCTATATGTTTGCCTGTATTTGATGAGGTATGAAAATGGAATACTTCCGTCGACTATATCTGGTATCTCACGCACATTTTATCATTTTTTAAAATATCTCATATAAAGTGAAGGAAGTAGTCGATATCGTCCAAACCTGGCACGTCGCAATATTTATATCATATGTATCTAGGTCTAAAACGAAATGGACAATATTGGCCCATTTCCCCGGAATCCACTTTATAGAGGTTCGACAACTTGAATAATCATAACAGAAAGAAGTCAATTTATACTTAAATAATCGAACGTTGGCTGAGGGTATACATCTGTCGGGCAAAAACCGACTGATATTTTCTAACTTGTTAAGAGTATTTTTATACCCTACAACACTATGTGTTGGGCGAAATCACAAAGCCATCACAAGGTTACTTCTGACCTTTACATTGATGTTAACAACCAAAAAATCGGATATATAGCAAAATATGTGCGATATATATGTCTATCAAAGAAGATATGCTTTAAAGATCTCTTATATGTCGAGAACGGCTGAACTGATTTCGACAGTTCTCATTAATTCAGAATGGCCTCTTGGCAGGAAAGAAAAAACGTCTAAAAAATCGCATAAAAATATCTGAAATAATATGAAAATATTGATTTTGTAACATTTTCTAATATTTTTTTAATTTTGTCATATTTTTGGCATATTTTCATTTTGAATTAAACATTTGGTAATATTTCTACAGCTAACAAAACTAAGTACGTAGGATATCAGGATATCATATACAGATCGCATTTATGGCCCGATCCTTACGAAATTTTGCATGGGGATAAGATGAGGGTTGGAATAGAAGCCTACTCTTTTCTTTTGGAGATGATCGCCATTTATTTAGGGGTTAAAATGGACCAAAAACTGCAAAATTGTCGGCAGGTCGTAATTATCGCTCGATCCTCACGCACATTTGAATGGGGGTTACCGGACATTGCAAAATCCAAGCAGTTTTGGATGGCCATCCAAAAATATTCAA